GCAATTCCACCCTCCGACAGTCCGAAGAAAAGGAACAACTCGTCTGCGCTAGGAGAAGTCAGGGTCCTGACACCCCTGGGGCAGTCATCCGCGGGAGGGGGCAGGAGGGCACTTCCGGGGGCTGATCACGTTCTGTTCCTTGATCTAGGCTGCTGGGTGCATGGATGCATTCGGTCTGGGGGCACTACAGTCCAGTAGAAAGTTGAATGCGCACACACACAACACATGCAGACACACACATGCCTCCAACCTAACTGCGTGACCTTGGGCGAGTCCTCTCCCCTCTAGGGCTCCGCCCACCCCCAAGACACAGATCTGGCTGGCCCTGGACTCCTACGGTCTCTGCAGGCAAAACTGCGCAGGCACAACACCGCAGGGCTCCCGCAAGCCCTTTGTGCTCTGGGCCACTGGACCCATCCCCTGCCAGGGAGATGAGCAGGGGGACCAGAGCCCAGGCATACGCCCCTCCTCCCCTCCCCCAGCCCCCAACTGCCACCTTCTTGGATCCCTGACCTTTCTGGAGACCCAACTTCCTCAAGCCCCTTATCGCAGCCACCCAGACGGACACGCCCCCTCTCCAGGAGTGGCAGCCAGGGAGCTTGACCGGCGATCTGTGCAACCTACCTCCTCACACTCATTCACCCCCCTCCCCACCAGTGACCTCATAGCCCCCGCCAGCTTCCCCTCAAGTGCACCCTCCCTTCCGTCTTCCAGCCCCTATTCACACGTATATCTCCTGTGTAGACATCCCAGCATCTCCTCGGCCCTCTTCCCTAGACAACCTTTTCTGCACTGTCTCAGACTGAACACGTCCAGTAAACACGGATGGAACACGCGCCGTGTGCCAGACGCTGCGAGAGCCCCTCCATACGTGTTATCTTAATGCTCCTGGTGGCCATCCTGGGGGGCGCAGGCATGATCCCCGTTTATCAGAGGAGACAACAGGAGCTCGGGGAGACTGAAGCAAGTCTCTGCAAGTCAGAGCTGGGACACGTTAATGTACATCCAGGTTTGAATGACTAATAAATGTGAAATTCCTGCCAGGAGCTTTTGCAGATATAAAGAAGTACATGTGAAACCAAAGGAAGAAATCTAATGAGGAGACACCAGATGGCCTAACCAGGGCCCCTGAGAGCATCCACCCTGGATGACAGCCCATTCTACTTAGGGTATATTTGCCAGTGGGAACAGGGGAGCCACATCGCCGAGCCCTGGGGCGGGGAGGGGGGAGGGGGGGTTGAGAAAGTGGACTTCAGACAGACATCTCTGCAGAGTCGCCTACCCAGCCAGCCCGATGAATAGTTCCAGAAGCCTCATGTGTCTCAGCTGCCCCACTAACCTGCGTGTCTCCCGCCCACTGTCACCAAAAGAGCCTCTAAGAAACACTGAGCAAGACTCTGCACTGTTCACCGCTCTTCCTGGAGTAGGAAGACAGGGGAGGAGGGCCATCCTTGGGGGTTCTTCCTGGTCATGACCCCGTCATGCCCCCAAAGCTGTGAGCTCATTCAATCCAGCCCCCGAAGACGGTCATGACTTTCCTTCTCTATAGGTGTGCTAAGTGCCACGGCCAATCGTATGCAGCTGGGGGATAACGAGCCAGGGTACAAACCAGGTCCATCTGGTCCCCAAAGCCCATGCTCTGAACCTCTGTTCTGCTCCCTCACGTGTATTACGTGGGCAAGGAGCCACGAAGGTCTGGACTGGGTCCCAAGGGTTCAGAGATAAGACACATGAGCCATGACTGGGTCTTCCCTCTGACTCCGGCCCCCACCTCCCACCCCCCTCAGCCGTGGCCACAGCCTGGGTCAAAAGCACAAAGTATGTGTGTCTCAAAGGGACAAGCGTCATATTCGGAAACACTCTCCCCCAACACACACACTGAGGAAACAACTCAAGCAGCCCCTTCGGATGCCTGGGAGACCCCGACTCAAAGGCCCTTCCCTGGCCCGAGAGTCTGCACCAGAAGAAGCCTGATGATCACAGCTCTGGGGCACCAGAGCAGCATGCAAGTTCACGCGGCCCAAGCCACGGTCCCTTTCCAAGCACACATCCATAGACGAGGTGGCCAGGATCCCTGGGACGGAGACCCAGAAGGTCCCTTGAGTTCGCTAGGTTCAAAGGCCTCCTTCTCCCAAACCCACAAACACCTGCACCCGTTTCTGAGTCACTTTCCCCACCGAGATACCTTCTGTGCGGATGGTGAAGGGGGAGTCCCCCGGGCGCCGGGCAGAGAGCTGGCCTCCCAAAGATGTCATCAGGAAGCAGAGTGAGAAGAAGCCGATACCCAGGACAAAGAGCCTGCAGGGAGTGACAGGGCAGGTCAGAGACAGGTCAGTGGAGTGCACCCCTACCCAACAAGGGCCCTGTACAAATGAATGGGTGAGGGTGTGAGGATGAAACGGGGCTGAGCTCCTGGCCAGGTCTCTTGTCACAGCAGAATAAAGAGAAGTGGACTACAAGGGGCTGGCCACGAGCCTCACGCAAAACCCCAGGGGACAGTGATACAGGCATAGATCCGGCAAGTTCTAGACTCCAGACAGAGCCTGGCTCACTAAGCAGGCTCAATGTGTGATCCCCAGGCCAGCAACAGCATCACCTTGGAATTGGTAGAAATGCAAAGTCTTGGGCTCCAATCCTAGGCTTACTGAATCACTCTGGGGGTGGTGCAAGCAACACGTTTTAACAAGCTCTCCAGGCAATCCTGCTACACGCTGAAGTCTGAGAAGCACGGGCATAGATGGAAACAGCAGGACCCGATGCCAGCCAGAGGGCAAGTAATTGGTCCAGACAAAACCCACCTGGATCCCATCAATCACCTGGGCTCAGCTCAGCACTGTGCACACAGGTCTTGCCAAGGCAATCAGTCATGAGCTGGCTTGAACACCTCCTTATCATGTTCGAGGCGGGTGGCGTGTGCCTCCATTCTTACCAGAGGGTACGATCTACAAGGCCAGGGCCATGTGGCCACCTTCCAGGCCCAGATTACTCCCAACCCACATCTTCACCTGGCAGGCACATAGCAGTCGTCAGCTTCCGGACTGACCGATCAGGGAGGCGGATGCCTGAGCACGGGGTGTCATCTGGGGAGCGCGTTATTGCACGGATCAGGAGAGCTGGTCAAAACAGGACCCTTGTTTGTCCCTTCAACACATAGTTGACTAGTTCCCAGGTGCCAGGCACTGGGGTAGCCCCAGGGGGACAGCAGGGAGCCCCATGTTCCTGCTGTTTCCGTACTAGGTGCCGGGCCTCAAACAGGAGAACTGAGCTAACCAGCACAGTCCCAGGGAGGCCAGAGGTAGCAGCTTCTCGGGGACCTTGAATGTATCAGAGGACTTGCAGAACTGGCAGAGCTAAAAACGGAGACCCCCGCCGCTCTGGTCAGGGCGAGGAACCCCATCCTATATGAGGCCAGGCTCACCACAGGGAGCCCCACAAGTCATGCTAGAGACCTCCAGCCCTCTCACCTCCACCCGCCACCCTCCACTCCACATTTGTGTGCGTCCCCATGCAAGACTTGCTTTATGCATTTTAATCTCCATTATTTGAAGCTGGCAGAGCAGTATTTAATTAAAACTTGGCCCATTAAAGAAAACACACAATTGCAGAAGAAAATAAAAGCACAACAAAATTCCCACCCCATATTTAAATGAAGCTGTTAGAGATTAAATTGGAGAGGGGGCACAACCCCAAAGCAGAGAAAGCACTGGGGGCTTCCCCCAGGAGGTGACAGGAGGACAGGCGACCCAGCACGAGACACTGCTCCCTCACCTCTGAGGGACCCTCACTGCATTCCACCAAGCTTGAGGATGGGTCCCTGGGATCCCAAGATGAAGCCAGGCTGGTCTCAGGACAGCAGCCAGAGAAACAGTGTAGGAGGCGGGTGGTTGTGCACCCAGGAAGATTCTGAAAGAATCAGCTATCGTCTCCCGGCCTGAGGACAAGGACGAATTCCTCAAGTTTATTGTCTCCCGCTGCCTCAAACCCCCTCCCCAGCTATGGGGTTGTATTTAGAGCCAGGGCTCAAACAAACCTGCTATGAGAAAGGGATCTAAACTTTTAGCCTAGAATCTGACGCCCCAAACACAACTCATCTGAATCTCTCTCTGCCAGACCCCAATCCTAGGGCCATTGATGGTGGATTCCAGTAAAAATGGTTTCGTCCGTCTGTGTATCCATTCAAACGATATTCCGGGAGCAACTACAGAATGAGGCTCTGGGGAAACTAAAGGGAGCAGGGCTCCCAGCCTGGCCTTAAAAATTAACGGGTAAATAAATAAATAAATAAATAAATAAATAAATA